GGACTCTATTTACGGTGCTCAGGAGAGTCGGTCTCGGTCCCTTATTTACTCTGGTACGAGAGTGGCGCGTGCCAGCCCGTGGCGACCTGCTTAGAGACCGCGGGCGGAGCGCCGCTGGGCACCCTGGAACTTGTAGTCCCGGACCGACCCACGGCGCTCACGCACTTGTATACACACGTGCGCACCCAGCCTGTCTGTGTCCTCAGGGTGTGGCCGCAGCCAACCTCCTGGAGCTCGGTGACTCGGCCCTGGGTCTTTCCACTGAGTTGTCCTGGCTCAGCACTCAACTCGGTCCCTGCCGCATGTTTTGCAGGCAGAGACCTGGGCTTGTGTCGCCGTCCCCACACTTCCTCCAGCTCCACGTCTGGGTCCACAACAGCAGCAGGTTCCAGTGCACGAAGGGGAGGTGATAGGTGCGGCGGAGCAATTTGTCAGGTTGGGCGACTTCTTCAGAGCCAGGCGGAAGAGCTCGGCCTCCCCCGAAGCTCTGGGGGCCAAGCGGCGCCTCCTGAATTCCAGAGCAGCCAAGGCACTAGTGAGATTTGAAAGGCAGAAACTTTGAAAGGCCAAGCCCGGTGTGGTAGAACACATCTATAAGGGAGGCAGAGACCGGGAGATTCTAGGAAGGTTTAAGGCTAGCCTGATTACAGGGCAGCCACATAGCCAGACCCTGTCTCGGTCTCTGTAGATCCATCAATATAAAAAAGAATAGAGAAAGGAAAAGAAAAAAGAGAAAGAAAATCTGGGTGCCTAGGAGCACTATCTGGTAAACTAACTAGGACAAGTTTTTTTTGTTGTTGTTTTTTCTTTTTCTCTTTCTTTCATTTTTCCCTTAAGACACATACATGCCTGTGGTGCTGGAGAGGTGATTCATCTGTTAAAGAGCACTGGCTGCTCGTCCAGAGGACCCAGCTTTAAATCCCAACACCCACATAGTGGCTCAACTGTAACTCCAAGATCTGACACTGTTGTGGAATATTTCTACACTGTGTGAAGAAGTGATTGGTGTAATAAAAAGCTGAACGACCAATAGCTTGGCAGGAGGTACAGGCCATTGAGATGAGAAGTGAGTCAGACACACAGAATGGGAGAGAGGTAAAATCCACGTGGAGAACATAGATTAATAAAAATATAGGTTAATTTAAGTCATAGGAGTTAGTGGGAATGGACAGTGGTGACACACACCATTAATCCCAGCTCCGTGGAGGCAGAGGCAGGCAAATCTCCTAGTTTGAGGCCAGTTTGGTTTACATGAGTGAGTTACAGGACAGCCAAGGCAGTTGCACAGAGAAACCCTGTCTCAGAGAAACAAACAAACAAAAAAAGAACTAGTGGGACAAACCTAAGCTAATGGCCAAAGTCTCTGTGTGTCGTTAAGAAATAAGAAAAGATTTAAATCCTAGGGCTTGAGAGATAGCTCAGCAATTAAGAGCACTGGTCCCAGGAGTCCATTTCCAGGGCTCAAACGGTGGTTCAAAACTATTTATCTCCAATTCTGGCCTCCCTAGGCATCAGGCTTGAAAGTGGTGCACAAACAGGCAAGCAGGAAAACACACACACTTTTTTTTTTTTTTTAACAAATTGTTATTGTGAGCCTTAATGGCTGAGCCATCTCTCCAAGCCTTGCCCCTAAAATTTTACAAGTAAAGATTTAGTTCCTGAAAAGCAAAACAAAACAAAAAGGAGAGAGAGTGAAGTGAATGACCCTCCTACTGAAACATCCCCACAAATCTGTCAACTTAAACAATGCAGACTTGTCATCTTAGTTCTGTGAGACAAGAATCTGGCGTGAGTCACCACAATTACACCCGCTGGCTTCATTCCTTCCTGGAAGCTCTAAGGGAGCCGGTCCCAGGATTTTCCAGCGGCCAGAGGTCACCGGTCCTTCCTGTAGCCCCTTCCTGCAGTCCCTTCCTGCATCCTGGCTGTGAGCCCAGGCTTCTCTTGTCTTCCATGTGGTGGGGCTTTGCTCTCTGGTTCCCCTGGCTCCCTCTGCCATTTTCCAGGCTGTGGTTACACTGGCCTGATCTGCATGCAGGAAAAGTCATTACTTGCCCATGAACAGCTGATTTGTAGCCTCAGTTTCCGTTTTCCAGGGACCATATTCACAGGCTTCAAGGTTTAAGATGTGGACATCTTGAAGGGCCTTCACTTTGCCCTCCAATCTTCCAGTTAAGGGACTCTGGGAAAAGGCAAGGTCCCACCAAAAAGACATTTTGGTTAGTAAAGAGAAGTCTGCCTTCCACTTAGGGCCTGAAATCCATGTTCCTTGGGGTTGAGCCTCTGCAGCTCTCTGGATAAGCCAGAACTCCACCACCACCATAACCACTCTGCCAGCTAGTACACACTAAGGTAACGTCTCATTCTTTTGGTTTTTTGTTTGTTTTGTTTGTTTGTTTGTTTGTTTCCTAATTGAAAGTAGATATTTATATATATAAAGACAGGATTTCTGTGTCCCTACATATAATCTTACTACAGTTTCGGCTTCCCAAGCTCCTCCCAGATCATCCACCCATACACACACACACACACACACACACACACACACAAGAATACAAACAGGCCCCAGCACAGGCAGATTTCTGTGAGTTTGAGGCAAGCCTGGTCTACAGAGCAAGTTCCAGGACAGGCTCCAAAGCTACAAAGAAACCCTGTCTTGAAAAACAAAACAATAATTATATTTACACACACACACACACACACACACACACACACACAGAGACATCTGAAAAAAGATAAAATAAAAACAAACAAACTAGAACAGGAACAAGCAGGCAAACTACCAGGAGAAAAAGAACCAAAGAAAAAGCACAAGAAACACATATAGATGCAAAGACATACACATGTCCATATGCACACAGAAATCCTATAAAATCGTATAAAAACTTAAGAAACCATAATATATACACAAAAGATCTGTAAGGGAGAAAGAAGGAAAGAAAGAAAGAAAGAAAGAAAGAAAGAAAGAAAGAAAGAAAGAAAGAAAGAAAGAAAACCCAGGCAAAACATTATGAGACAAGGAACCTCCAAAAATGCCATTGAGTTTGTTTTGTGTTGGCCCTCTACTTCTGAGCCCAGTAGTGGTTTGTATACCCAGTGAAACTCCACAGGAGAAAGCTAACTTTTCCTTTATGAACAGTTGTCAGCTGGAGATGGGGATGGGGTCTTGTGTCCATCTTCCCCTCAGAACTGGTACCCCATCTGGCCCAAACTTAAGCAAGCCCTGTGCATGTTGCCAGTCTCTGTAAGTTCATATGTGTGTCAGTCCTGCTGCGTTTAGAAGAAGGCCTTGTTTCCTTGTGTCCCATGTCCCCTCTGGCTCTTACAGTCTTTTTACCTCCTCTTTCACAAGATTTCACAGGCTCTTCTGAGCCCGTAGGGAAGGGATTTGATGGAGACACCCTGTTTAGGACTTAGGACTAAGTAAAGAGTCTCTTTACTCTTTGCATGTTGTCTAGCTGTTAGTCTCTGTTTTAAATCCTATCTGCCGCAGGAAGAAGTTTCTCCAGTGATGGTTGAGCTATCCATGAGTACAGCAGAAAGTCGTTAGGACTCATTTTATTGATAAGTTCCTTTAGAAGAACAGTAGGATTTGATTTTCTACTAGGTCTCTCACCTTTCTAGGCTCAGGTTCTTGGCCACCTGAGTAGTGTCAGGGATGGATTTCATCTCTTGGATTAGGCCTTAAATCTAATAAGATATCACCTTTCTAGGCTCAGGTTCTTGGCCACCTGAGTAGTGAAATCAGGGATGGATTTCATCTCTTGGATTAGGCCTTAAATCTAATAAGATATTGGTTGGTTACTCCCACAACCTTTGTGCCACTATTAAACCAGCATATTTTACAAGCAGTTCACAGTTGTAGATTAAAGGCTTTGTAGCTGACAGCCCTCTTTTCTTTTCTTTCTTTTTTTTTTTTTTTCTGGGACTTGAGTCTGTTCTCACATGGCAACTTCATGAAGGCCTCAGCCAATATCCCACTACAGCCTGTCAGTCTTCTGGGCCACAGACTGGTGACTCTGGGCAGAGAGGTAGGGGCCTGATATGGGGAGGTAGTCTTCACAGAATTTGAGCTGGGTCTTTTGTTGTTTATTGTTTGTTGTTATTTGAGATATGGTCTCATGTAGCTCACATGGCTTCAAATTGGATGGTTAGCTGAGGATGACATTGAATTTAGACTTTCCTGTCTCACCCTAGTGCTGAGATTGCAGGTGTGAGCTCCACACCAGATTTATGCTGTGCTTGGGATAGAACCCAAGGCTTTCTGCATGGTGGACAAACACTGATCCCCTGGCCTTGAACTCTTTGTAGAGGTAGTGAAGGATGACCTTAAGCCCCTCATCCTCCTGACTCCACCTCCCGAATACTGGGATTATGGAAATAGCTCTATGCTGGCAACAGAAGCAAAGGCTTGGAAGCCTCTGAGATGCTGAGTCCTCCAGTGGGACCACAGCTGAGGATGTACTCAGCTGAGAATTTAATGTTGGAAGGAGGCTTTCACGCTCAGAATGCTTCCTATCTCTGCTTGTGTTTGAATTAATGCTGTTTATTAAAATGTAGACATTTAAAAAGAACTAGTTTTTCTTAAACATCCAAGTGCATTTTGCAAAGCTAGTTTCCTACTTATGAATCTACCAATATTTATAAAAACAAGAACAATTGCCTCACTATTCTTTGATTAATATTTAATTAACTTGTAAGTTCTGCAGATTAGCTTCTTCTTAAAAATGAATGCAATTATAAACATAGGTAATTAAATTCCCTAATAGTTTTTTTAACTACATTTCACTGGGTTGAAATACTGTAGTTGGAAGCTGGTGTAGGGGCAACACAAAGGAAGCAGAGGCAGGTGGATCTCTGAGTTTGAGGCCAGCCTGGTCTACAGAGCGAGTTCCAGGACAGCCAGGACTACATATATTGTGTGACAAAACTTGTCCTGAAGAGAAAGTAAACACATCTACTCACTCCAGGTAGGGAGCCCACAAAAACTAAAGCACAAATACCACCAAAATCCAACTTGGTTAACCAATGAGCTTTATTGGTTAATTCAGGAGTATAGATGAGGGGTTACTTACAGGAGCAGAAATGACTACAGTCAGTTGCATCACCAAAGCCCACCCCAGCATGGGAAACAGCTCACAAAAGCTAGGAACCTGGAGCATTTTGCACAGTGTGCAGGAAGCTCAACAGGCTGGAGAGGGTCCCTTCCAAGTGACTCAGTAGGTCTGAACCTCTTCTAGGCAGTTTGATTGATTTCTGCTTCTTCCAGGTCTCAGTGTAAGCCCCTCTGAAGGGACTCTAGCTAGCCTAGGTCAGACAAACATAGCTCTGACAGGCTTTTATTTCTCTTCTCCCGGATTCCCTCTGCCTTGATAAAAACCATTAGATTACACTCTAGCCACCAAGGTCTATGTCTTTATTTGGCCACTTCCTCCTCCTGAGGCTGACTACCAAGGTCCAATTATCAAAGTATTGAAGTCCAGCAATCCAAAGCCCCTTTTGGCTGCCCTCATTAACATGCCTAATCAAAATTAAACACACCACCTTACATGGGGTTTCCCCTTCTACCTTTATAAACCACCATTTTCATTTTTCTATGGGTCATCTCCATTTCCTCCTAATCTCAGAAATTGGGAAGTAGAGAAAGAAAGATCAGGTATTCAAGGCCATCTTCAACAACAAAGGTAATAGGGAGTACAAAGCCAACCTGGGCTACATAGTGAGACCTCTGTTAAACAAATCAAATCACAGCACAAGGCTAGGGCGATGGCTCAGTGGGTAAGAATGCTCATTCTGCAAGCGTGAGGACATAAATTCAAATCCCCAACGATATAAATAGACCTGGTCAGCCAGCTTAGCCAAAATGGTGAGCTTCTCATTCAGTGAAAGAGCCTTTCCCAAGACAGTGAGTGATCAGCTGGTAGAGGGGCTTGCATCAAGCCTGAAGTCCTGAGTGCAGTCTCCAGGTCCCACACAACAGGAGGAGAGAGCCAACTCTCCCCCCACAAGCTGCCCTCTGACCTCCGCTAGTGCACTGTGACACTTGCACCTCCCCATACACACAATAAATAATTATTAAATGTAATGACAACAGATTCAAAAGTATGAATACATACAACACACACACACACACCAAAACAAAGCAAACTCCCATGCAATTGATGTTTCCTGAGGCTTTCAAGTGTTTGCTCACCCGTCTCCCTGCTTCTTATTGTCCCATCAAGCAGATAAATGGCAGTTCTTGCCCCTCCCAGGTCCTATTGTCTGTTCTGGGTAATCGGAATCTGCATTCGGCCCTCATCCAGGTTGTAGTACTCTCTTCCTATTTTACTTTATTTTCTAGCTGCCTCATTGCATTTTACTGTCTATTTCACTGGCAGTATTGTATCATTACAGAGAGAGGTTTGCGAGCAAGCACAGATGACAGCCTGCAGAAGTGTTTCCATACCCCGGGATGTCCCTCTGCTATCCTGTTTCCCAGGAGGATCTTGTCAGGTACTTGTGAAAGTTCTGTACCACGTGGAGAGGTGCTAGGCAGGTCAAGAATGTTCTTATCCCACACTGACTTCCTCTGGCTCCATTGGACCAGGGAGGAACTGGCTGAGAGAGAAGCTGTCACTGCCCTCCTCTGTCTCCCAAGGCCATCTGGGTGAAGATAGATGCTTATGAGACAGTGGTTTAAAGTGAACAAAAATCTTTTGTTTTGTTTTTTGTTTTTCGAGACAGGGTTTCTCTGTGGCTTTGGAGGCTGTCTCCAGGCTGGTCTCGAACTCCCAGAGATCTGCCTGCCTCTGCCTCCCAAGTGCTGGGATTAAAGGCGTGCGCCACCAACGCCTGGCAATTCTGATTTTTTTTTCTTTTTTTTTTTTAAAGCAATTTTTGTTGAGACAGGATTTTCACTGTGTTGCCCCAATTGACCTGGAAATTGCTGTGTAGACCAGTCTGGCCTTTAAATACGTGGCTTGGTTTTTGCTGGATTTTGACTTACTTTAATCAGAGGCTTAAAAGGTTGTATAATAATTGGGGTTGGAAAGATGGCTCAGATGTTAAGAGGACCCAGGTTCAATTCCCAGCACCCATATGGCAGTGGCTCACATCTTTAATTGTCCATATTTCCAGTTTCAGCACCCTCTTCTGGCCTCTGTAGGCACTGCACAGATGTAGTGTACAGACACACATGTGAGCAGGGACACACACACACATAAAGTAAAATAATCTAAAAAGAAAATTTACATTTAAAAAGATTATATAACAATATGTAAATTTATGTTTTTTCTTGAGAAATGAAATGGGAAGGTATTGAGGAGATGCATTATTTGATTTATGTTTTGCACGTATATGTGTGTTGTATGTGTACATGTGTCTACCTGCTCAAATGTGTGTAGGCAGATGTGTATGGGGGTACATGAGCACATGTACACATACTTATGGAGACTTGAGGATAACATCAGCGTCTTTTCTGATTCTTCTCCTGGCATGCTTATTTTATTTTTATTCTCTCTCTCTCTCTCTCTCTTCTCTCTCTCTCTCTGTGCGTGTGTGTGCGTGTGTGTGTGTGTGTGTGTGTGTGTGTGTGTGTGTGTGTGTGTTAGTGTGGGTGTGAAATCACAACATTTGTATGAAAGTCAACTTTCAACAGTTTGTTCTTACTTTCCATCTACCTCGTTTTTAAAGTGTGTGTACTGTGTGTGTGTGTGTGTGTGTGTGTGTGTGCGCGCGCGCTCGCACGCGTATGTGTGTGTGAGTGCAGGTGCCCAAGGAGGCCAGAGACATCAGAATTCCTAGAGCTGGATTTACAGGTGGTATGAGCCCTGTGACATGGGAACTAGGAACTGAACTCAAGTCCTCTGCAAGAGCAGTACTTGATCCTAACTGCTGTGGCATCTTTCTAGCCCATATTTATCTCATTTTAAAATATATGTGTACACATGGATATGCTTGTAGTGGAGGGATAACGTTTAGGTTCTTGCCAGAGGCATCAGATCCCATGAAGCTGGAGTTCTAGGCAGTTGTAATAGGCCAGCACAGGACCTGGGAACCAAACTCCCATCCTCTGCAAGGACAGTGTGTAATTTTTAATTACAGAACCATCTCTGAGCCCCTACCCACCTCGTGTTTCTGCTGCACTGGTTACAGATGTACCCCACTGTACCAGGTGTTTTCTCTGGGTCCCATGGACTGAAGATTGAACTTGGGTCATCAGCCTTGTGCAGCAAGTGCTTTAGTAGCTGGATACTTATTTTGTTTTGTCTTAAAGATTTACTCTAATTTTACTAAATTAAGTTTTTACATTGTCTGCATGCATATATGTGCACTGTTGAGTGTCCGCTGCCCACAGAGACCAGAGAAGAATGCTAACTCCCTTGGAACTGGAGTTACAAACAATTGTTAGCTTCCATGTGTGTGCTGGGAATGGGACCCAGGTTCCCTGTAAGAGCAGCAAGCACTCTTAACCACTAGGCCAGCCCTCCAGCCAACTTGTTTGCATATTTTTATCCAAAGCACTTAATTCTCCTTTAGAAAATGAAACTGTAAGGTAACTTAAGTAACACTGTATAGGTTTGCTGGCTGATAAGACAAAAATTTCAAAAAGTCACAAGAGCTGAGCATGGGTGTTGCACACCTGTAACCTTGGCACTGGGGAGTTGCCCACAGGAGGATCTGGAGCTCAAGGCCATCATTGGCTACATAGTGAGTTTGAGGCCAGCCAGGGATACATACAATCCTATATCAAGAAGAGTTAAGTAAGCTCCATGAGATGGTTCAGCAAGTAAAAGCACAAAAGCCTGAAAACTTGAATTCAATTTTCCAAACCCTTGGTGGTAGAAGAGAACCAACTTCTGATCTCCCTATGCATACTCTATCACACACACATCATATATCACACACACAATATGATGAAGTTAAATTGCCAGAGACGTATGTGGCAGCTCACATCTGAAATTCCAGCACTTGGGAGGCAGAAGGAGGATCAGAAATTGTAGGCCAGCCTCAGGTACAAGAGATCCTGTCTCAAAGACTTCGATAAGGCTTGGTGTGCTGACACCTTTAATACCTGCATTTGGGAGACAGAGGCAGGTGGATCTCTGTGAGTTTAAGACCAATCTCAGCTGGGGTGGGAATATGGGGGGTGGCGCATGCCTTTAATCCCAGCACTCAGGAGGCAGAGGCAGGCAGGATCTCTGTGAGTTCGAGACCAGCCTGGTCTACAAGAGCTAGTTCCAGGACAGCCTCCAAAGCCACAGAGAAACCCTGTCTCGATAAATAAATAAATAAATAAATAAATAAATAAATAAATAGGTGTGCACCACCAACGCCTGGCTGTGATACCTTGTCATAAAAAAATAAATTAAGGGCTGGAGAGATGGCTCAGCAGTTAAAGGCACTGACTGCTCTTACGGAGGACCTGGGTTCAATTCCCAGCACTCACATGGCAACTCACAGCTGTCTGTAACTCCAAGGTCTGACAGCCTCACACAGACATACATGCAGATAAAACACCAATGCACATAAAATAAAAATAAAGTATAAAAAATTGTTTAAAAAAAACTTTTAAAAAGGCCAAAAGACAGGGTTGAATAGATGGCTTAGGAGCACTTCTGCTCCTACAGAGGACCTGATTTGGGTTTCAAGCACCCACATGGTGGCTCATAATCTCCTGAAACTCCAGTTTAAGGGGGTCTGGTGTTCTCTTCTGGCACTCAAGTGGTACATAGACACACATGTGGGCAAACATCATGTCAGGAGATGTTATCCCAGAAACTGAGGCTCCTCCCTCATGCACTGGTGTCCAATTGAGACATGATGTGACTCCCTAACCTTTAGGGAGGTTCTCAGCTCCTGTTTGCCATGGCCAAGGTGGCTGGTCTTCTGAGGGGAAGACAAAAACCCCCATCCATCACCTACCCTGCTGCACACGTGGCTCAAGACATGACACATTGCAAAATAGCCTACAGAGTGTCCCCTCTCGCTTTGGCTATCACATCAGGAAGTCAACAGGCTTTTCTCCATTGCAGTCAGAGGTGGAGATGCCAGGTTCCTCTGGCTGATGGGACTTGCTCATGGACTGGGTGTGAGGTGTGAATGAGAGGGCACAAGGAAGCTGGACATGGTAGTTCAAGCCTGTGATCCTAGAACTTGGGAAGCTGAGGCAGAAGGATTCCAAGTTCAAAGTTACCCTGGGGCTCCACAGCTAGAACTCTCTGAAAAAAAAAATCAACATGCATTCAGTTTCTAGACAAAACTACTGGAGAGAGCTAGTGATATCCACCATTGGGGGGCTACCAGGCTGGAGAACAACATTGGGGTGTCTACCAGACACAGAGGGAAGAAATCAGGAACTAGTCAGACAAGCCCGGAAGCTGGGAGTAAGCTCTGAGGTGAAGCTGGAATTCTAGGAGTCATTAGAGATGGTATTTATAGGCATGAGGCTGGTGGAGACACCCAGCCCCCTCAGCTGCCCTCAGCTGTCTAATTAATGATTAGATAATTGCCATTGTTCTGTCCTCCAAGCATCTGGCATAGGGCCTGGCGCTCAAGTAGATTCACAGGAACTGAAGAGAGCTCCCCCTCCTTTTTTTCTCCCCCAACTTTCCCAACTCATCAGAAGTCAGCCTCTTTGCAGGAGACCCAGGAGTCAGGACCACTGACGTTAGTGAACCTCAAAGAAACCTTCAGACAACCTTGTCCTCCGTTAGGGGAAGGAAGCCAGGGTTATCTTAAATCCTCACTCCAGCAGAAGAAGAGCTCCTAGAATCCTGAGCAACAAGCACCACTCATATCACACCACATTGCCATTAAAAGGGCAGCTGTATGAGCTGGGAGTTTGCTCTGTAGGAATAGTGGTCTCGAGCTAACAGTCTTTACTCTCCTCCTTTTACCCTGCACAGCAATATTCTGGAACACATTCTGAATCACACAGGGCCAGCCATTGTAGACACTCTGTAGACACTGCTGTGTCTAAGGACCTGAGAGGAGAAAGGGGAACATTGGCTTCCCTAGCACAACTGTCAACTCATGTTAGAGATGTGGGAAAGCCAAGGTAGAGGACCTGGTGAGAGCTCACATTTCCAAGTGTTCAGCGTGACTTTACTGTGACACTTAGGAGCTTAAGCTTCAGAGTGCCCCAACACTCTCCATCTAAAGACCCACACCTTGATTTTTTTTTTAATTGTGTATGTGTGTGTGTGTGTGTGTGTGTGTGTGTTTTCATGTGTACACACATATGTGTTGGCCAAAAGACAATGTGTCTTCTTCAGTTGTTCTCCACGTTTCTTTTAAGCTCAAGTGTGTATGTGTGTTTCCTGTATGTATGTCTATGCAGCATCTGTGTGTCTGGTGCCCTCAGAGACCAGAGTAGGTCACTCTGTCCCCTTGTACTGGAGGTTTTGGTCAGTTGTGAGCTACCATGATGGTTTGGGGAACTGAACCAGAGTCTTCTGCAAGAGGAGTAAGGTCTCTTGACTGCCAACACATTTATGTCTTCAGCCCCTCCACTTGTATTTACTTTTTTTTTTTTTTTTTTTTGAAGATTTAAGACAAGATCTGTAGCTGTGGCTGTCCTGCAGCTCATCACTATGTAGACCAGGCTGGTCTCAAACTCTCAGAGATACACCTGCTTCTGCCTACTGAGTGCTGAGATTAAAGACACATACACACATACACACAGAGAGAGAGGCAGTTTTATTCTTTTGAGATAGGGTCTCATACTGAAACTGGAGCTTACTCAAGCACCAGGTATCCGTGTCTCAGATTCTACAGCACTGAGAATAAATAAGCAACTCCATTCAGTTTGGAGGTTTGAATAAGAATGCCCACCACAAGCTCATACATTTGAATACTTGAATCTCAGTTTGGGAAGGATTAGGAGGTATGCCCTTGGGGAATGTGGTTCACTTGGGACCTGCTTTGAGGTTTGAAAAGCCCACATCACCACCCAGTTGGATCTCTCTCTTTCTCTGCCTTGTGCCTGTGGACCAGATGTAAGCTCTTAGCTAGCTATTGCTCCAGTACCATGCCTGCCTACTTGCTCCCATGTCACCCACCATGATGGTCATGCATTTACCTTCTGGGACTGTAAGCCTCAATAAATTCTCTTATTAAGTTGCCTTGGTCATAGTGTCCTTTCACGGTAATAGAAAAGTAATTACAAAATAGTCATTATTTTTTTATTTCTTTTTGTTTGTTTGTTTGTTTTTGTTTATCGAGACAGGGTTTCTCTGTGGCTTTGCAGGCTGGCTTGGAACTAGCTCTTGTAGACCAGGCTAGTCTCGAATTCACAGAGATCCACCTACCTCTGCCTCCCGAGGGCTGGGATTAAAGGTGTGCACCACCAACGCCCGGCAAAGAAAGAAAGTAAGTCTACAGGAGTCTTTTTTTTGGGGGGGGGGGGGTTGAGACAGGGTTTCTCTGTGTAGCTTTGGAGCCTATCCTGAAACTCGCTCTGGAGACCAGGCTGGCCTCGAACTTACAGAGATCCGCCTGCCTCTGCCTCCCGAGCGCTGGGATTACAGGCATGCACCACCAACTCCCGGCTTTATTTCTATTTTTAATTTGTGTGTACTGCAGGTGACCATGAAGGCCAGAGGTGTGGAATCCCCTGGAGCTGGAGTTTCAGATGGGCGCAGCTGCTCTTTGTGGCACTGAACTAGGTAGGGTTCTTTAAAGAGCAGGATACCATCCTAACTGCTGAGACATCTCTCCAGCCCAACAGACTTTCTCTGTGTAGCGCTGCCTGGCTGTCCTGGAACTTGCTCAGTAGACCAGGCTGGCCTCGAACTCACAGAGATCCGCTGGCTTCTGCCGCCCCAGTGCTGGGATTAAAGGCGTGCCCCACCACCGCCCGGCTCTCCTCTGATAATCTTAAACCAGGCAGAGGAACTAAGTGTAAGCGAACAGAAAAGGGGTAGCAGGATGAAGAGGGTGTGCATTGGCGCCCCTGGCACAGAGAGGGCACCACAAAGCCAAAGCCCCCCATCCAAGTCCTCTCCAGACCCCTCCTCAGCCTCCATTGTTCCATGAACCACACGCTGAGCCTGCAACCAAAGTAGCATTTCTACTGGCAGGACCTCCGTCGGTGACCAAAGCTAGCATCTGAATTCAGAGGTGTACCACCCCAGTGATGACCGCCGGCAAAGCACAGGCGTGTCACCGCCCCGCGGCGTTTTGGGAACATTCGCAGCCCAATAGCCAGGATGTGGGAAAACGCTGGGCCGCCAAGACGGTAACCCAGCCGGCGGGGGTCGCACAGCCGAGAGTCGCACTAGGACAACCCACAGTCAAGGCCTCGGCGACAACCGGTCAGACTCGGGACCCCCACGACCAGCAGACGAGCGCCCCTTTACAGGACAGCGGCCTAAACCAATCAGGGCCAAGTGTGGCCAGTTTCCACCCCTCCCCCGACACTCACACACCCAATTGAATTTTTCTTCTGAAGGCGGTTCCGTCAAGGAGTCCTTCAGCCCAATAAGAGTCGTGGAAATTTCCAGAAAGAACAGGACCAATGGGCGCGGCCAGGTCAGCCACAATTGACGGACTCGCTAACCAATCCGTGCCGTCAAGGCACGCTCCTCCCTCAGTTCGCCCAGCCCTGGCATAGGCGGGGCTTGTCGAGGAGCGCCCAATCCCGAAGTGCAGAGGAGGCAGGGCCGGAGAGAAGACCCACAGCGAACCAATGAAAAAGAAGCTAAAGTGATTGAGTGGACTTAAAACCAATAAAAGAGGAGTACAGAGCTCCCTGGACGCATTCGGCCAGTGAGCAGGCGAGGAAGGGGCGGAAACCGGGGGGTCCCGGCAGCTTCTAGTAGGTTCCAGAAGGCGGCGCGTGCGGTTGGGAACGCGGAGCGGACGAATTCGATTCAACGGGGTTCCGGACCAGGCTATGGAGCAGGTGAAGGGGGAGGGGCGGCCGGGGCCCCAGGGCAGCGCAGGCCTGGCGGAGGGGAGAAGCGAGGGGGCGGGGGC